CCTGGGCAACCAGCTCTAGGTGGCCCTGGCTGAACAGGTGGGTTGGACCAGATAACCTCCAGAGCTCCCTTTTCAACCTCAACCACTCTGTAATTCTGCAAATATCAAAATACTAAAATTGGTACAAACATTTGCACTTTATGCAAGATACTAAATGTCTTCAAAGGAATGGAATAGTCCTGGTTTGATATCCCTTGCACTGACATGTAATGCAAATCCCTTCCCAGTTGAAGGAAGATCCTTACATTCCCTAATAGCTCCCCTTTGCCCTCTTGGTAGTCTGCCAGACTTGCTAAGTCTCCTCCAAGCTTCCTGTTTCTGACTTACGCTTTTGAGAACTTCTTTAGGTATTTGCCCTCGTAATGTCCTTTGTGCATACTGCCTGATGTAGTTTATGCTATTGTAACCCTTGTGCTAGGTGTCAACAGTGGAAGCAGAGGGGTTTACTCTATCTGTTGGGCCACGTTTTCTTGTTCCAAGGGTTTTCTAATATAAATATTTAAAACAAATCAGAAGGCAGCACCTTCTGCCCCTTTTTAAAGATTCTGGCTGTTCACTTCAGCATTCCTTCAAAGCAATGATTTAACTGACAAAGAGTGAAAAAGAACAGCCCTCTGCACCCTTTCAAAGATAAAAATGTAAGGGCTGAGTGCTGACTTGTTTAGCCTTGCCAAAGGAAGGAGGAGGGCCAGATCTCTTGCTATAAATACCTCAGGGAGAAAACAGTTATTCATGGTAAGAGACAATGCTGGCATAAGAACAACTGCATATAAACTAGCTGTGAATACATTTAGGATGAATACTGAAAGCAGATTTTCATCCACTGGAGCAAAGAGACCCCAGAGCAGGCTTCAAAGAGGAGCAAGAGCAGCACACATGTGCACAATGGCATCTGAGTGCAAGAACAAGAGCTGAACAGGAGACTGGACTCTGACACAGAAGATCCATTTTACTGTTACATCCTCATCAGCTCCACACTATAATTAATTCTGACAAAAGATGGAATACTTTTCATGAATAACTGTCGCGTGTTTACGCCCATGCATAAACCTCACGATGGCCTGTAGTGATGAATGACAGTCAAGCACACTGAATGAAAAATTCCTGCCAGCCTATGCGTCATAGAAAAGGCACCAGCGTGACATACCAGACTTTATCAGTCTCAGAAATAATCCCGATAAAGCATGTATATAACTCATCCTTCAATGTGTGGCTGACGCACAGATTTTGTACTCAGAGAGCCATTTCAGCTAGGGGTTAGATTTCCTAACCCCCTCATGTTCCTCTGGAACTTTTTCCAATGCAGTCACTGTGGAGGCACAGTTAAATGGGTACAGACATCTCTGAAAATGACACTGTATATTCTTCCTTCTTACACTGGAATATGCAATGCAGGCAAAAGTCACTTTTATACCATTATAACCACAAATGAACTAGGAAAATCATATGCTTTAACTAGACTTGAACCACTAAGGCAGACTCATGTGAAGTCAAGTCCTTGAAAGAAATCTTTAAGAAAATTAAACCCCTGTTTCAGCACGCAGCCTATTCCTACTTCATGGAGAAGGTTTTGCTCATTAGCTGTTTTTGAATGTCAGAAGGTAACTTTCCTTCAGAACAGACAGCCCTGTAACATGTTGTGAAATTTCACATTCATAACTTTATTATAATCTGAATAGAGGCGATATCTGATGAGCAGAGAAAAATGACTATACAAAGGATTTATAGAACATTCATTTACATACTGGAGACCTTTTGATGCTTCTTTACAGTTTCAAGAAAAAGGCAAAAATTTTCACTAGTAGGTAAATCCAAGGAGGAAACATTAAATTTTTAATGATACTGTTGGATACACGGAAACCATTTAATTAAAAACATGGCTTTTAGCATTTTTTTGTAGTTTAACACTGTACGATTATAGTAGTACATTTACTAAGCAGGTTAATAGGAGTCTGGCTAAATACATGTGTCAACTTGCTGCCATTAGTTATGAAACTGCATATACACATCTACCAAAAACTGTGAAAGAAAGTGCTGTATTAACTATTTAGTCTTGTATCTTGTATTTGGGATGAACATAAGTTTCGTGAATATCTTTCTACATACACTACATAATGGTACATACTGAACTATTTTGCTTTGTGCATTTTTTAAAATTCATTAAAAAGCAAAAGCACGTGGCAATATACCATCCAAAGGAATGCATAATAGAAAACCTCCCTTAGAAACAGGGCAAATTCTTTTTTCCCACTTACCAAGTAGAGCTTAAACTCCCAAGAAACACCACCAGGAGTGTCAGCGTCCAATTCCTTATGCTCTTGAATTCAGCAGGCCTTGAGAAAGCACAAGGAGTAAAAAATAAGGCCCTGAATGGAAATGATAATACGGGGGGGGGGGGGGGGGGGAGGCCAGTGGTGGGGGGGGGAGACACTCTATTTTCAGCCCAAAGGCCAACACTTGGTGACTTGGTGTCTAACAAGACACGCTAAAATTTAAGCATCATCTACAGAAGTGAGAAAATACAGTAAAAAAATTCCTCATCATTTCAATGCTCACAACACATCAGATTTAAATCTAACCGAGACTTAAATCTAATGGTGATGCCAGCTGAAGAAATTCACTGGGCTCCAACTGGCTGACTAGATTAGGCAACTGGGTTCTTGGTGGACCAAAAGAATATTAGAAAGAAACTTGTCCTCATACATTTCAAAAGGATCAAAGCTCCTAAAAGTAAGAACTGCGTTCCCTTTTGGATGGTACATAAACACCATTTAAGTAGTATACCTCTGTGTCAGAACAGAATTATTTGGTACAAATCAGAGGCACTTGCCTTTGTTGCTTCAACGGTAGCTACCATGCTTTGGATTGCTTCACCCTTCTACACACATCCAACGCCCACTGCTACTAATACACCTACACTGCTTCCTGGTCCAAATACATTAAAGTTCAAATCTTTCTTCCCTCTCCCTCTCTTCCCCACCCTCTTCCTTTTAAAAAGTATGAAGTTACTTATACAAAATTCATAGTTACACAAATAATTTGGTAACACTTTGGCTATGGTAACGGAATAAGGTTTCCATGGTCCTAATACTTCAGGAAATAGAAGGAGAGTTGTTAATAAAAAACAGATCATAGTTTATAGAGGACAAATGTAGCTCAAACTGGTGGAACCTTCTTAGCACATAGCCCAACCAGAGTTTCCCATTCCATTTAACCATTATTTAGTAAAAGTGGATAAAAGGATGAAATCCTCCAAGTGGGTACAGTTACTAGTTAATCCAGTGCCTCACGCATCGGCATGCTGAATTCAGCATGTCATTTTATTCCTCAGGTTATTAATATAATGTTGACAGCGACACATCAAAGAAATAGAGGCAATGAAACTTTTCAGCACTGTCACACTGAAGTTGCATTACCATCAGTTCTGACATGGGGGTCTAGTACTGCTCTTTTTGGAGTGAACGGGAATTACACAGTAGACCTCAGTGGCTTACTCTCCTCGTGAAGGTTTCCACTGTAACCTACTGTATCAATTTTCTGTAAAGCTAACTAGCACTTTGTCATGCATGTAAAATACCAATGTGTTTAGAAAGATATAGAGATATGTACAAGTGTGACAGCTGCAGAAATCATGACATAAATGCTCTCAAGAAATGGGACAGAGTAACAAAATAAATTCCATTCCCTTTTGGATTTCCTGACTCAAGGAATTATTAAAAAAAACCATTATGTACCAAAAATAGTTCCTACAAATGAAAAAAAAAAAAGGCTAAACCCCTCTCAAAACTCCAATAAAAAGGGGACTAAAAGAACCCACAAATACAATTATGTATTGGGAAGGGGAAAAATGCTACTACCAAAACATTATTGCAGAGACAGGGAATGGGAAGTATCTTGTCACTGTAAGACAAAAGTCAACATATGAGACTCTGTTGTCTATAGCATGGCACAGGCTCTTTATGCAAAAGAGCACTAAAGAGGCAAAGCTCAACAATGGCCTAGTTTAAGAATATCCATGTGACAGCACAAGATCTGAGATCTACTATAAATAATCTGGCATAGATAAAAATATATAAATTATAAAATTTTCTTCTTTGCCTTTCCCTCATTTTTGTCCTGTAATTATTAAAATACAGTATCTTCCCTGCTCAGTTCTCTGTATAAAAAAATAATAACACAAAAAATCCCAATTACAGAATAGATTTCCACACAACCTTTTCTTTTGTTCTGCCACCTCTCCCCTACTTAAAATTTTTCAAACTAAAACAGCCCAGCCTTCTTAACACTAAATACAGAGCAATCTCCCTGAATATTCCACATTGCCGCTCTTTCCTTATCAGAAATCAACTTGCACAAACCTTCTCGTCACATACTTTTCCCCCTACTCCATTCAGCTCCCATCTCTGATCACACGAAGATGAAGGGAAGAGCAAAGAGTCTTCCTCACACCATTATTCTCTTAAGAGCACATCTGCAAGGCCTATAGCTACCATTGATGCAACTATGGCAAGTGCCTTTGTGGAAGTTACACAAAACATTTTCTGCACAAAAAAGTAGCACAGCCTAGTGAGTATTTCTGCTCCAACAAATGATGAGAAACAGCATGTGAAAATATATTAGAAACCATTCACGAGAAAAGTTTCTCGTTTATGCTTCATTCAGGTATGGGCTACATGGGTTTGGGTGGCACCCAGCTTCTTTTATTTTGTCCTTTGATACAAAAACAAAGAAATAATGCTTTGTTAAGTCAGAGGCATCTTCAAAGAAAAGGCTGAACTCTGGCAAACACAATGCAGACAGATTGTCCTCTGCTTTCCTTCTTGGGAATGACAAGATTCAGATGCTGCTGTTGAATAGCTTTTCTTCCTCTCACAGTGCTCTCCTTCACTGAAGAGCTCCAAGTCAAGGATGGAAATGCATCAGATCTTCTTCTGGGATCCGATCATGACCTTTGAGACAAAGTTCACAATGGCACTGGCAGGTTGCTCTGGATCGTGCTCCGCAAATAAGTGGCATATGTTGTCTGTGGCACTGCCTTGCTTCCTGGCAACGAACCCAAATACTCTGCAAGGGCAACAATCACAGTGTATCAGAGAACAAAGAGGCACCGCCTTGTTTCATAAAGCAAAAAAGATACTGTAGAAATCAAAAGCACAAATCGGACTTCATCTGTTCTGACTGACAAGGTCCCGTGTCACTGCTAGGCACAGTGGTCCAGATGCACCAGCCAACTCGGGAGCTCCTGAGTGGCTCAGGATGGTCAGCCAGGGAAGGAGACTGTCCCCTTCCCTCTACTCTGTCTATATTGCACCGTGTGCTGCTTGCTGCCAAAGACACACTGCTGACCCTGGGGATATATTTAATCTGATTCAATAATGCTGTTCTCTTACCTGCCCTGGGGGTGTGTGGTGTGGTGTGTCAGGAATTGCCTAAAGAGAGGTTTTGTCGGCCACGCCTCTCACTGGACAGAGTACTGGAAACAGGACTTAAGCTACCTATTTCTGTTCCTTTCCAGAAACCAGTGTCTGAGTAATCTCTGTTTTGTTTTTTTCTTTTGGTAAAAGTGGGACAACGACATTTGCCTTCAACGGAAAACACTTGGAAATCCAGTATATTTATGCCACATACTAGTATCACTAGGAGTGTTTTAATCTATGTGCTAAGTGTGGTTGTTTTTTTTTTTTAAAGCAATCAGTCTAAGTGAGACAAGTAAACTTGTGTTAGTGTTGCTGGACAAGTGGAACATAAACCCGAGTAGCAAATGGCTCCGTTTCTGAAGCTTTAGTCAAATCACAGACCTGCAACCTAAATAAACCACACTAGCTCTCGCTCCAGACATCCCACCATAACATAACTAAGCCCTGACTTGCAGAGGTGCAGATGAAGTAACTAAAGTCTAAATACAGTGGGCAGAGAGACTTGTGTCTCTGAACAGCTGCTTTCTCTTCTACATCTCTGACAAAGACAATTTAATTTAGAACACTAAGAAACTGATCACTGTAATGATAGTCCTAAAACATTCAGTTAAAAGACTCAAGATAGGTGTCCACTTACTTTGCAGAAAGGCCATCTTTCATCCATCTTGTTGTCCATTAAGAAAGCAGTAAAAAAAGATAAGGAATGGGGAAAAAAAAAAGAAACCTATGTTATTTTTTTTCGCAGATCAACAATACAAACAACGTATTAGAAATACTGCTTGTCTTCCTTACTTTCTGTCCTGTGGATCCAAAGCACAGAAAATAACAGTGTTGACTGGATAATGCCGCCGAAAAAAGAGTCTGGATAGGAAGAAATAAAACAAGTTTTAGGAATAGTTAGGATGCTTAAAATTTTAAACAATAAATAGATCTAAAAAATAAATTATATTTAATCTAAATTTAATAATGACAATACATTCTTCATCTCTGACTGACTTTGAAAGCCACCTGAACTGCTCCAGCCAAATAAATCCATATATCCATATTTAGAATAGTAATGTCAAGTTTTTGGACAAAAAAAACCCTGACTCTCAAGCTAAGAAAAAGAACTAGAAGTGTGAAATGTATTTTTTCTAAAAACTGGCTATTTAGATACTATGTCAGGGGGAAATGCAGCTTCTTGGAACCCGAGAATAATTTGATTATATTAAGTTTCAAAATATAAGCATTACTAGGCATTATAATTTAAGGTTTTGTCCTTGACCTGCTATAAACACTTGCAAATGCCATGGAATTCAGAAGTCTAGCACTTGTTTTTTTTTTTTTAACCTATAATGAATTCCTGTTGTCCCTCCTTTGTTATTGTCAGTTTTCAAATCTAAAGACTTTGTGGTAGCCTTAATAGCATTCAGTACAAAGAAATATAAATTGACTTTTTATCACAGTATTTTACAGGCTAGCCAAAGCACTATTTCAAATACTGGAGATACACAGTGTTTGCTTAGGCCAACTCTGTTCAGTGATACTGGTGAAAGATACCATGAAGATAAATTATTTCACTGAATAGGCTGAATATCCAATGCAGGCAAAACCATTACCTTCTCTTTTTTATAAGAAATAACAACAATTTAAAAAATGCTGTGGTAAAGTGACCTTCCAGAAGTAAAATCTGCCATGTGGAAGTAATGTCCATAGCTTAAAACATTAATTCTCCAGTACTGCAGACAGCTGACATTGTCACTGTCATTCTTTAGACAATCCTATTATCCCTTGAGAGAGAGACTGTTGAATATAACTAGGAAAAGTAAATCAACAGCAGCCAACACTTATTGGGGACAAGGTCGGATATTCTCTTTCCTTCCCTCTTTTTCTTACTTTCTTTGATTATCTGTCAATGTGATTCCCTGCGCAGACACCTTAAAATGAACAACGGTTGAGATGGGAAAAGGATCTTGCATCAGCGTCAGGCTCAAGGCTTTCTGTACTGCCTGGTAGCCCGTGAGGGACTCCATCTCCACTGAGTTCAGGTACCAAACGTTACACGCTGTAACGAAAGAGAGAAAAGATTTTCAGAGGTCATTACCCAGGAGCAAGCAATCGGGTATCTTCTGAACAAAACCAAACAAAATGTACATTATTTTCCACCTTTGTAAAGCAAACGGAAGACTGGTGGCAAACTACCAAACCTTCTGTGTGTGCCTCACCTTGTCCCACTGCTGCTTAATAGTTTAAGACTATAACTTTGGAGGCCATAGGCAGTTTGCTGTCCTTTTGGTTTTAATACCTTTATATTTAAGTCAATGAGTGTATTTATCTATTACCCACAGATCCTGAAATTTAAATAAATACAAGACAGCAGCAGAGAGAGAGGCCACTCATAGGTACTACTAAGGCAAAGGCATTCCTAAAAAAAAAAAAATGGGGATATTTTGCTTTTAAGTTCAATTACAGCAGTCACTAAGAAAATACACATTTTTGCTGCATAAGTTCACACATTTTGCACTTTCAAATTGTATTTAAACTATATTCAAAGGAAACCATTCACCTGTTCGACAAGCCAAGAACGTTTTCATCCCGTAAAGAATTGAGGGTTGCTCCAAAGCTCATTTCTCATTAATTCCATAGTGTTTTGTATGTTTAGTGATTTTAGGGCAAACAAAACAACTTCCTCATTAAGAAAAATTACTGACTTACGTATTTTTAGGTCTATTCTTTACCGCAGCATGCACTTATTTTTAAAAGCCCTACTCCTCTCCTAGAGATACTGGTAACTTCTGAAGTATCTCTATAAAACAGCAGCTCATTGGTTTCTAAGGCTACCAAACGGTTGATTTTTTCACCTGGTCTCATATCAAATCTGCAGCAAGCCCTAGGAAAGAAGTACTAAAATTACACAGCGTTATATAGTAGTAGTACAGTACTGTACAATACTATATAGTATTACATGGTAACAGTGCCACATAGCATTATACATTACTATATTGTATTAATAGAATTATTCACATGCTTAAATACTTTTGGGATTATGGTACAAAGTCAAATTTACAAGCAGATTAAGAACATTTCTGAAGTTGAAAAGCCCTCTTAGTGTTATTGTACAGCACAAGCAAGAATGATTAAACACACCTGTAGCTAAACACTGGTACCAACAGACTTTGTGTTTTGGTAAAAACAATTGTGTAGGTATCCAGGCCAGAACTTAGAACTCTGCCAGCTGACACATGCAAATTACCACGCTAATACTTCATTTGTTTAGCAGTTTAGCTTGGCTTGCCAACCTTACTATGAAAGCAAGGATTAGATTTAATTTACTAGCTTCTCTTTTCATATGGCTATTCTGCAATCTAATCTAATCTAATCAATAGGCTTTCTCCTATGACTGTCTACATAAAATACACAGGTAGACACTGACACTTTCAAAACAATCAAGCAATTGTACAGTTATAGACTGCATAATCGCAAGTCTGATTCCAGCATGATGATCAGCCCAGTAACTTCAAGCTCTGGAGTCTGTCAGTGAAAAAAGCGATCCAGAGATTTGATTTGATTGATTTGTGAGTGTAAAATTTCCCAAACGTATTCACACTGGTGTGACAGTTTCAATAACCTTTGAATCAGTTACTATACATTTTATGCAGAGAGGGATTTAAGACGATGAATGGCAAGTTCAATGAGGCCTTCCTTGCTCAACAGCTTCCTGTCATGTCTATCCAAAATTGTAAATAACATTCCAAACCATAAGCTCTCATCGTGTCACATCATTACTGTGTACGTTTGGTACAGATCTAAAGCTCTTCATTATCCTGTGAGCCTTTCCCACCACAGGAAGCTTGCCTTGTTTCACACTCATCACAACTTCTGAGACCCAGATGAAGGGTTTCCCTTCCTCTTCTGCCACACACTGCACTGGTGTCAACAGACTGTGTTTGGGTTTTGTTTCTAAATGAAATAGCCAAGCATTTTGTCTCGATTGCCCTCAATGTGATAGCTGAAAAGCATTCACCAAATACAGTAGATTACTTCTGTAGCACAAAAAATAATAAATGGAACCTTTTTCAAAAGTGTCGGGAAGTGCAAAAATGTCAGCTTACAAAGGAGATTACAGGAAAGGTAATGAGAAAGGCTGAAAGATTTTTCATTTAAGATCATCATGCATGGTCTGATGGGGTATCGAATGACAGCAATCCCACAGAAACCATATTCTTTTACTAGAACAAAAGGAAGACATCTGCGCCTTTCACGCAACGCAGCTGCCCTGCAATGCTGCTGCTCTCATCTTCCACAGGTGGCATTTTGTAGTCATGTCCGTGCTACCACCAACAGCTACACAATGTGGCCATTTCGAGTAACCCCTGCTGCTTTTAGACTGGGAATGTGCTTTGTTCAGAATGCTTAGTCCCTAGACTGTATTAAGTAGAAACAGATATGAAGAACTGGGATTTATTTGGAGCAGAAAATTTTGCTGCCAAACAGGAAGGTTAACAAAGCATGGTCTATTCTAGGGAAAAGCCACTTATCTGTACAGTTTCTAGTCTCAGTTGTCACTCTCTAGGAAACAAAGGATTTCTGGTCAGCTTCTACATTTAGATAATGACTGGAAATGCTCATTAGGTTTTTCAGACAGCTACAAAAAAAAAGATCGTTCTAGGAAAACACATCTTCATTTTTTTGCTGGTGGAGTGGGAGAAGGATGGGGTAAAGCAGGGCAGGGAAAAAGTGCATCTGCTTCGACTAAACTGCAGGTGCCCACACAAGCTCAGATAGTTAGAAAAGAAGTAATTCACGTTTTGGGTCTCCACTTCAGTGTTGAACTCCACAACTTGCATGTCTCTATGATTGGAGAGGGACCCCTGAAAATCAGTGGGAAATGATGTATCAAGGCAAAAAACACTCTGAGAATTTCTCCCAGCTAATTTATCTATTTAAATTCCAAACCCTTGTTTAAAAACAAGAACAACAACAAAACAATAGGGGAAAACCCAATGTACAAAGTTCCCCAAATGATCCATGATGTGACAGCCCCCATAAGCAGTTATCTGACTAATGCCCCAACTGAAGTAAGAATTGTTCCTTATCCTTTGAAAATCACTGCCCAAGCAAGGAGAAACCAAGATTTCTCAAAAGACAACACATGTTCCTTTTGCTGGGTTTTCAAGAGGGAAAGTTCTACAAAAATTCATTCTCCTTGTTTTTTCTTCCTTGATGGCCACAACAACCACCAGCAGCACTAGCAGACAGAAAGGCCAACACGTGCTCGCTCCTGGCACAGCCTCGCAAAGGCTTGCCATTGCCTCAGCCACACATGCCTGCTTGATTACAGCCCTCGAAGTGGTACTTCAGTGTTTTAAGTCAAAGCAGACTGCTGCACAAGCAAGGGGCAACTCTCTCTCTCCAGAGCTGCTCAGCTTGGCCGCTGCCCCCTTCAGAAGTGCCCTAAAACAGGTGAGGGAAATGATGCAGTGTTCTTATAAAGGCATGCTTGGCCACACTACTTTTGCTTGTGGTTCCAGTGGTAGGCTAAACTCAAAGGAGAGTGGCAAATGTAGTGTATTCTCCTGCTCTAATGGGACTATGGGTGGACAGATAAATCCTCAGGAGAATTCATAGCAGCCTGAAAACCAAGGAGCATGGGAGGGCATGGACAGGATCCCCTGGGCATGCCCACCGTACAGGGGAATAACAGTGGCTGCATCTCTACTAAGGGCAGCCTTAAGATTACAAAGGGGTACTCAGAGAACCATGTCCAGTAACAGTGGGCCAGGACATCACAACATTTTTTCAGACAGGCTATTTCACTGGCTGCCTCTGGGTCAGCTGCACACAAACAAAGCAGGTGAGAAGCAGAGCACGTCTCTACACAGCTGCTGCAAATACCTCTATTTGAGAGCAATACAGACAGTACCAATACATAGCATCACAGCATTTGGAGGTAATCTTGTATCAGTTCTTCTGTCACATCAATAACCACATGGTAAGACAACTTAACTTGCCAGAATGGGTGCTGCAGTATGGATGAGAATCCATAAAACAGTATCCAATGGAAAAGACACTGGGTATTTCCTAACAACATGCATCATCAAGTGAAGCACAGGGCAACATTTTTTTAATTATTTTTTTTTCAGATTGATGGGACAGCAAGCATTTTCCAGTGGTATTGTTGACCTCTATGCTGAGAATTTAACCCTACTGAACACTTTCCTTAGTTGCCTTTTGCACATCTCAGACATAGTTCATGAACCTCTGCAAGCACAGATTTAAAGTATCTTCTCTAAGTTCATCAGTTACGAAAGCAATATCACCGCTTAAAACTTGCTGTGCTTGAACCAACCTACATGTACCTCATATTCTCATGGAAGACATGACTGGAAAGCAAACACAGCGTTGTAGAACTTAGAAGCTGGTTGCAGAAAACAGAAAGAACTTAGTACATATCCTCACAGTGCCCTTTACACTTCTACACAGCATTCTAACTTTAACTGCTCCCTTTAAACATCCTTCAGTCCAGTCTAAGCTTCAGTTTCTCCCAGCCTGTAAGACAGAAAATTTGGTGACAGTCAAATGCAAGGAAAAAGTTTAACAGACCTGCACCCTGTTTGAGAAGCTCCGCTGCTGAGTTTGCAGCAGTTTGTGGAGAAGTTTCTGCTATCTCCTCCAGGGGATCTGCAAACAGAAAACACTGTCCATATCTTGTTTGGACTTGAATTGACAAATCAATGCACATGGTCAAGTCTAAGTTGAGCTTTTGTAACTGCGATTTCATCCACCAGACAACTCTTGACCAGAAACATAAAATAATCTTGTATCTGCAACTACAACCATTCATGTTCCCTCATTACACACTCAAAGTTTTTTAAATACTGCAATTTTAATTATTTTATTTAATTTGTATAATTTACACTAATTTAGGCACAAAGACTTTGTGTTTCTACTATGAAATCAATTAACTGTATTTTGATTCAAAAGATGACAATATAATCCTTCTTTCTTCATACTTATGTAGAAAACAAAGAGACAGCAGTGGAATGTTTGCCTACCAATCTTCTGTTAAAATCAGTGATAAAACTGCCCATCAGTATGTTCTTTCAGTTATATAAATGCATGTAAAAAGACCTCACCTACTGCTGTATTTAACATGATGCGTGCTGGTTTTGAATATATTCAAATGAGGAAGAGAGCAGTAATACGATGTGTGACACTATTCTCGTGTTTAGAGTTACCCATATGCTTTAAATACTCCATGCACTGTGTCCAGAATCCACAGAAGATCATCTTAAAATGTGTGATCATATTGGATTCAAAACCAAATCCAAAATAAAATATCACTGTGGTATGTTTATTGTGGTATGTAAGGCAAATGTTTCAGTCCTGTGCCTCTGCCAGAACAGAAGGAGCTTTCCATTTTAGGTGAGGAGGATAAGGAGAACAAGCCCACCTACCACACTGGTTTGCCATATAAAGAGATCTCTGGTCACATTTACCATAGCATGGTTTTTGTGCTAAAATTGTTTCATTACTGTATTTGCATAATTCAAATGCTATGTTTGAACACTGACATATGGCCTTTAACAAAAGTTGAGAGAGTTCACTAGAAAACCACAAAAATGTTTAACATTTCAATAATACATCTGGTGTTAACTTCATGTGGGAGAGTAACAGACAACTGAATTATGGGGCAAGCATAGCTACATTTTGCTGTTGTCTTAAGAGTGGTTTATGAAATCACCATAACCAAAATTAGAATTACAGTCCCATGATGGAACACAGGCTTTTTGATCATTTACTAAAACAGTACTTGGACCTGTGCAAGTTGCTACTTCCTTCCTGCCATTGTCACACCCAGGGCACCTTCTGTTCTTTACCTACTCGTCTTCCCTAAAGCCCTTTTGCCACCCAGACCTGAATGAGTGGTTATGTCTAACCATACACGGGAATAATTTCATGTCTACGAATTACCTTTGTCTTTCTACATCACAGTACCAGTCTGCTCACAGCTACACCTTAGATAACAGCCGTCACCAGTACTGAAGAACTACTTTTAAAACACAGCTTCCTTCCCCATGCATTCTTGCTTAGATCTCAACTTGTGACATGTTCACCTGCCGTCAGCCACTAGCACTTTGAAGCAGAGCTTGGCTGGGTATAACTCTTCTGTACTTTAACAACCGTACCTCTGTCTGGGATGAGGAGCTTGCAGGGCAATGCCAGTGGAGTGATGGAATGCTGATACACCAGAGCTGTCAAACTCCCTGCGGTCAGAAGAGTAACAAGACATGCACAGTTAATTTGGTGAACAAGAGCTCTTAACAGTTATGTTGGCTCTCAAGTATTTTACAGACCAAAGGGCCTCCTGCCCACTGCCTGTTAAAAAAAATTCTCTTGGCACCTAAGCCAAGACCTTCTTTGGTCAACTTTCGTGTATTCGTGTTTCCCAGCACTGTCCCAGTTGGATGTACTTGAACTCATAAATCACCATCATACACTCCCTTCCCCTGCTTAAATACACTGCTTAAATCCTAACCTAAATCGCTTTCCTTCAAATGGAGAAAGCACACAAATGACAAAAACTGTAACATACGCAATTCAATAAATTTCTTTCAATGCTCTTAAGTTCTGCTACATTAAATGTAGTAAGATCTTATGAAGATGGTAAGAGCAGAAGGGGTCAATGCTAAGTGATGAGGCAGAGAAAGAGTGAGGAGTTCTGCCTCTTAGCCACCTAGTCTCCAATGCCTAGTGCTTTGTCCACACGCACCTCTATTTTGTGCTTCTGAAAGTATAAAAGATGGTCTAGAGAAAAACTCCTCTATTCAGTGCAGCAGTGATGTATGTAGCATTCTCCATTAGATTATTCTTCTTTTCTATTCAAAGACACTTTCGTCATTTGGACTTGGCATAATTGAGGTAATTAAACATTAGTCATTCTTGATATAGGCATGTGAGCCTACACTCTAAGGAGTGAGAGGAAGATGTAATATTCATCAGTCTGTTTGTACAAAAAGCCATCGTTCGATCCTGTTTACTAACAAACACTGAATTATAATCATGTCCTTGAGAAAAATCACAGTTCAACTAAAAGCAACCTCATTTTTACAGTCCATCAAAAATTCCTTTGAAATGGAAAGATGACCCAATTCTGCAAGGGTCTCACAGAAACAAAAAGACCAATTGATATTATTAGTCCTTCATTGTCTTATCCATAAAAGTGTGTGAGAGTGCCTGTCCATCTAATGTGTGATGCAGTTTTGAGGCTGTATACATTGAAAGATTAGGAGATGCTCAAACTAAATGATTAGTAGGGCTACATATGTGCTGTAACTATTGTCTAGAAATCAATGATGGTGATGATAAGGTCGAGTGCCTTTGGATAAAGATCAGGGGGAAGGTCAATAAGGCAGATATCCTGATGGGAGTCTGTTATAGACCACCCAACCAGGATGAAGAGGCAGCTGAAGTGTTCTGCAAGTGGCTGGCGGAAGTCTCACGATCACTGGCCCTTGTTCTCGTGGGGGCTTCAACTTACCAGATGTCTGCTGGAAATACAGCGCAGCAGAAAGGAAACAGTGCAAGAGGTTCCTAGAGTGTGTGGAAGATAACTTCCTCATGCAACTGGTAAGTGAGCCTACCAGGGGAGGTGCCCCGCTAGACCTGCTCTTTACAAACAGAGAAGGACTGGTGGGAGATGTGGTGGTTGGAGGCCATCTCGGGCATAGCAACCATGAAACGATAAAGTTTTTGACTCTTGGTAAGGCAAGGACAGGGGACAGCAAAACAGCTACCTTGGACTTCTCGAAGGCAGACTTTGGCCTGTTCAGGTCACTGGTTGAGAGTCCCCTGGGAAACAGTTTTGAAGGGGAAAGAGGTCCAGGAAGGCTGGACATTCTTCAAGGAGGTAATCTTAAAGGCACAGGAGCAGGCTGTCCCAGTGTGCCGCAAGATGAGTCGACGGGGAAGAAGACCGGCCTGGTTGAACAGAGAGCTTTGGCTGGAACTCAGGAATAAGAAAAGAGTTTACCAAATTTGGAAGAAGGAACAGGCAACTCAGGAAGAATACAAAGCAAAAGGCGGACCAAGGAGAATCTCCCCCCTTTACTGGATGTAGAAGGAAACATTGACAGCAAGGATGAGGAAAAGGCAGAGGGACTCAATGCCGCCTTTGCCTCAGTCTTCAATAGCCAGACCAGTTACCCTCGAGGCAGCCAACCCTCTGAGCTGGATGATAGGGGTGGGGAACAAAAAAATCCCCCCGTTATCCAGGAGGA